CTTCTCCTCTGTAACCTTGGAATCATTTCCTCATGCAAATTCTTGATGTCCTCATTAACTGGAGACAGAAGCTCTTCATAAAAGATCATGAAGACCATCAATGAGTCTACAGGAATCCAAGTCTTTTCTCTACTCATCAGACAAGTTAGGATTCATCTTTTGGCAACTGCAGAGCCATCTAAATAAACCAGCCCAATCACACAACTTTCCTCAGTCATTGCCAAGGTATGAGCCCCCCATCACCTAATTTTTGTTGTACTTTCAGCCTTGTATTACAATATATTTAGTTTCTCCTCACTGGCCCATTTCCTCTCCATCTTACACTTGCCTTCTTGAGTCCAACCACCTTTCCATGGTTGACAAAACACAGTTTACTTTTTTTTCCCACATTTTTAATATTTATTTTCTCTAGAACCAAGGCGGGTCTTGCAATGGGTGCCACATTTTTCAACTGTTGTTTGCAAGACAGCAGTTGTGATACAGTTAACACTGTTTACTTTTAACCTCATCTCTGATTCCCCCCCTTTTAGTTTAACTAAACTCCAGCACTCCACTCAAAATTCTGTTGCCCCTGCAACCCTCTCTATGGAAGCATCTCCTCTGTGCCATGCAGGTCATGTTGGGAGGCAGTTTAGCCTCTTCTGTCCTCATTTCCACTTTCCATACCTTGCTCATCTACCTCATATAGAATCCTAGTCCTTCACAGCTCATGCTGGCCTGGCACCCTTTCCGCTACTCATGCTTGTCCTTGCCCTTTTCTAAATTTGCCATCACCTAATAGGTGAAAGCTCTGCCTTATAGCTTATGAGTTTCCTCTCCTTCTTACCACTTTCGCTATCCAAAGTACATGCCTCTGAAAACACTGAAAGGCTAAGGGACATGTGCAGAGAACTCGGTCGAATTCTGGTGCTTGGAAGTGTACTGCAGAAATCAAGCAAACTCAGCCTACTTGAAGACATGGGATCAAGAAATAAATGCTTACTATTGGTTTTATCATGAAGCACGGCTGTAACAATAGCTGACCAACACACCAACAATCAGATTGGATCCTCTTTTCACTCAACCACTAAGATTAATTAAAAAGAAAAAAAATCTCAAGTCTGTTTGCTGAGACATTTCTCACTTTTATTTCCATTCTCATTTCTAATCAATTAACCCACATCATATTCACCTTAAATTTTTTCTCTAGTCTCCCAGACCTCTGATTGATATTACTAGAAAATCAAAGTGGCTGCTCTCCTCCTAAATCTGTTCAGAGTCTCTGAGCTGGCATGGTAAAATCACACTTTTGGATTTGGCAGCAGTTTCTTATGATCGAATCTCTGCCTAGTTGCTCAAACTGGCACCTTGTCATTTTGCCTCAGTACTCTTACCACATTGAACTGTTCACTGTTTCATCTTTTCATAACTTTCCACATGCCTAAAATGTGCTAGATATTTTCTAAATTTCAACTTCTACTTAGCTTACTGCCATGGAAGGTGCTTTTCCCAGAAACATGACAGCTGCCCTCCAGCCTCAAAGAGAACCAAGCAGTGTTTCCTCTGTGAGAATCCTGTATTATACTTTTCAGCATAAAGTTCTTAACAGATATGACATTAGGCATTTATGTTCTGTCTCCTCTCCCACATTATAAGCAGACTTTCTAAGGCAGGACCACGTCTTATTTCTCTTTATATCCTTACTCCACTCCACAATAGCTGTCACAGAGAGTGGGCATTTCATAAATAGAGGGACTGCAACTATTCATTTTCAAATTTAAATTGGAAAAAGTTTATTTACTCATGATACTCAGAGACACACAGACTTTACATCGAGTAGTAAAAAAATCTTATTAAAAAGACTGACATATTTGTTTCTAATTCAGGTTGATTCATTAAATTTTAGAGAACACAGCATTCAGTAGTCTTTTACAACATAGCAAATACCAGAGTTGCTTTACAATCAAGTTTCTATACAAAGATTTCTAGACAAATGGTTGATTTTCAGGAATTCTATGGAAATGTAAATGAAAGCTGGAGCATGAGAAAATATAGCCTCTTCTTGTGTTTAAAATTATATTTATCCAATTAACAAATGATAGAAGCTTAAAGGTACCAGTAAAGATGTATGTTCAAATAGATATATGCTGTCTTACCTGAACCAATTGGAGAGCAAAAAAAAAAAAAAAAAAGATTTCTAATTGACTAAGAAAAAACACTAATCAAGGATTTAGCTCAGTGATGCCTCCACCTGCTTTGTGATCCCTGGGACCAGGAAAAAAAAAAAAAAGAAAAAGAACAAACACTAAAATTTTGGTTCTTTATCAAGAATAACTATAAAAAATTATAAAAAAAGTAACCCAATTAGAAAACTTCCTATGAAATATGATCATAGTTTACATCCCTAAATTTAAAGGCATGATTTAATTTTAATCTTCTATAAAATATGGAATAAAAAGACAAGAAAATGTATGCATGAAATTTCACTTAATAACGTGTTGCTTTTGTACTACATTATCACCCTTATGTTTTTTCAAAAGCTCAGTTCTTTCTCAGGATCCAGAAACTTCTCAAGCCACATGTGAACAATCTAGGTTTGAAATTCACACACACTGCATTTTAAAATGTAAAGTAAGGTCTGCCTTTGTAGCAACTTCAATATTAAGCTTAATTTATCCTTACTATAACGATATACATCACATGCACATTTCCATCACATGCACATATTATTTATATGTATCATGTGCATACTTCTCTCTCATACACATCTCAACTTGGCTCACATGTTCATATATACATACACATATACATGAATGCAGGGAAAGAAAGGCAAGAATGGTCAGATAAGATGTCCCTCTCTTATTTAGTGAATTACAGTTATCTGATAGAGACTTATAGTTACTGTGTTAACCTTGCTCAGCTGAGTTAACAAAAGATAAGACTTTATCTGATGTTTTTATGTGTACATGTCACATCTTTCAACTAGAAGTAGATATATGGACTGTGTCTAATGCCTACAACCTCATTTTTAGGCATGTGCTGGTAAAACAGGAATGCTCCAAAGCATGAGCTCTACCGCACAATGTCCGCCTTCATACCCTAACCCGACAGTGACCAGCTGATGGATGAGGTATATAAATGCCAGAGCTTTGCTATTTTCATAAATAAACTGTGTTAGGACTCCAACGAAATGTGGTGGCTGCACAGTACTTTGTCTATAGTTATTCCCATGGCCAGTTAATAAGTACTTGCTCATTAATTGATAAACTTGTCTCAGGAAAGGTCTTGACTTACTGCCAGCCATTACTTTCACAGACTTGCCTGTTTTACAGCTATACAGACAGGTGTTTGAGAATATAAGAAATTAAAACAGAAATAGGAAAGCTTTTTAGTCCATTTTGCTAATTAATATGTCAGAGCTCATAAAGCAGAACTCTTTGGCTTTCTTCAGTACTGCATCATCTTAAAAAGCTGCATCAACAAAGATCTCTGCAGACAGTCAATATATATTGAAACAGTCCCAAGCAGTAAATCAAAACAACAGAAAAGAAGATAATATAGTAATCAAGAAAGTAAAATTTATAATCCCTTTTTGACAATGCAGAGTACTATTAAACTATTGGTTTAGGTGTATGAAAAGAAAAACTAAGAATTCCTTTTCAGACATACTTTTTGACTCTGAGTATAATAAAAATTGAAGGGTAATTTCAAAAAGGCATATGCCAAATTTGATGTTATTTCCTCTGAATTTTTATGTTTCCTCGAATATTTAAGTTGTTTCATTTTTAAAAGTATTTCTTTTGCCCTCACCATACCCTGCATTTCTGTTTTGTTGTTCAATTAGCCATGGAGGAAAAGAGGTTTCACATAGAGTGGACCCTTGACTTACAAGCTCAATTGGTTCCCAATAGCTGGTTGTGACTCAAATTGGTTATGAGTCAATACAGCTGAAATCTGGGTGTTTACCTGAGCACATGATATAGATAATGGGGCAGATGAACCTTCCATTAACCTAATTAACCCAGGTTGGTCATACATCAAAGCAGTCATAACTTGAGGGTTACTTTGCTTTGTGCTTTTCAAGGATCAGTAAAATTTACGCTTTTTTTAAAGGTACTGAACAAACAGGCGTTTTAGTTGTAAAGTCTGTGGGAGAGTCCATCTCTCCATCTCTAGACATAAACACCCCTCATGTGTGGAGGCACTACAAGTTTATCAACAGGCGAGTCACCCCACTTTCTTCCCTGCCAGGGTAATGAGATACCAGGCACGGTTAGGGAAAGCTCCCATGTTAGGTCATTAGAGGAATCTCATGAACACTAGATTGATTTCACAAGGTGTGTGTGGGGGCACTGTATTTGGGGTCAAAAATGTTAGAAAGACTTACCTAGGCCTTTGATTTTTTTTTTCCTGAGCTCAGAGGAATCAGTCACTTAAAGATTAAGCCAAGGGAAAGGTGCCAAAAATCTTGTCACAAAATTGGGAGGTACCCAAGCCAGACCAATAAATGGAACTTGGCACAAATGTCTCTCTGTGCCCTAAGTAGCTGACTCAGAAGAAATTTTAACTCTGATGAATTTATTAAAATGTTGAATATCATCCCAAATAAGAGATTTAGGTCAGCACATACCATTTAATTTAATTTCCTGATAGTCTTGGATAGTATTAAAGTGGCCTACATTTCTGGAGTTAAAGAGGAAGAGAGCAAGGTTCTTTTTGTTTTGTTTTTTTTCCTTAGCAAAAAGGATATCAGTTTTTTACTTAAATATTCAGGAGAAAGGATATTGCATCCAAATGCTGTACAATCCCTTTTTTTTAAAGTATTAAAATATTTTTTTCTTTTTATTGAGTTTACTGGTACAATCTAGGTATACAATATAGTTACATTCATTTCTGGGATCCTGTACCTTCACATGACAGGTCTTGGTTCTCATTTTTTCCCTTTGTCCCTGCCCTCCCTTCACCCCCTCCTCCTCTCCCCATTTACAAACACTTTATTTCCATTTTTTCATTTTCTCATATTCACTTCTCGGCCTTTTGGCTAAGATCAAGTGTAGTATCTGTTCTTATCAGTACAATCCCTTTTAACACTGGTGAGAAAAGTAGGATCACTGAACGTTACAAATTAATGTTCAACTTGGTAACTTTTTCAGTGGCCACTGTCTGGATAAGGTTGAAACTATGGTTTTATATTAGGTGAATTTTAAAAAGTATTCTGTACACAAAAAAGCTTGTCGGACTAAAGGGACCCTTAATCTCTATCACCTCCATTCTCTCATCAACAATGCCCAAAGAGGTGATAGGGGGTAAAGAAAGGAATTGAGATGTATTATGCACAAGTAATAACTCCATAGAAGGAATGTAAACATTAAGTACTACAAACACGTACTATTTTTTAAAAAAAGATACAAAGCCAAAACTAAACCTGTTATAGTTAAATAGTGTGCCTCATGTGATGTCAAGATTGTTGTTACTAACCCTATAAGCTAAAGCAAAGTTGTCACTTGGAGTTTATAAGAGTCCACCTCTAACAGCTTTAAAATCCTGCCATTTTTTACTTTGATTTTACCTAAAGTATTACAGTATTACATAAAGATGATAATGATCTTAGCTAAAAAGACTGACAATACCTTTTAATTATTGGCTATCAGTAATTTGTTTAGATTTTAATTAATACTAGAATACTATCTGAATGAGAAAATTGATAAACAATCTTAAAAGGCACATGGATCAATTTTATTTGAATCCTATGCAAGTACAAGAAAGAGCTCTAATTTTCAGGTCAATGTAAGAGAACTATGGCCAAGACCATGCATTAAGATGAAAATAATGTACGCTATCCTTAGGGTTCTTCAGTCAAGCAAACTTCCTTCTCAAGCTCCTAAAAGTATTTCCAGTAGTACGGAACTTAATAAAAGAGGATAGTAGGAACACACTGTGTGTGGCAATTCATCACTTCCACAGAAATCGTTTCTTTCACAGTGATCTAACCTCTTAGGCACTTTATTAGGAAGAATGGGAAAAAACATCCATGAGTTTTTTCCACCCCTTCCCTGAACCACCCCTTCCCTGCTGTTATCAGTGGATACTGTGAAGAAAGAAGAAAGGAAAAAAAATCTAGTTTTGCTCTAAAACATGATGGAGGCAATGAGGCATTGAGGCCACTTACTGAAAACATAATTGGCACATAAACACAGGAGATGCTCAGGATGAGAGAAACTTCTTTGTTTCAGAAATGGAGGAATGCCAACAAATCATGACCCTTCTGCTGTGTGGAGTAGCAATTCTAAGAGTCAAATGGATATTTTTTCCCAAAGTAATGTGCCCCTGGAGGAAAGGAATTATTATGGTATTTGCAAGCTTAGTAGGTAGCTTCAAATGTTTGTAACTAATGTGAATAAATGAGGAAGAAAGGCAAAGGAAGAGAAGGCAGAACATTTGGCAATGAAGGTGAAGCTTGGGATTTAGAGAAAAAGGAACTTTTCACATGATAAAGCCCTGAAGAGCCGGAGACATCCAAGTGGGCTTCCCAGGGAACATCTGGGGGCCCTTCTCCTGAGTGAGGAGAGCAACAAGACCTCTCTCAGAGCCCTGTTTGGTAACAGGGAAATGCTTCTTTTTTCTTTTAGGAGAAAGAAATTATCACATCTTTCTTACTCTGGAGCTCTCTGTCTTGCTGTTTCGATATGAAAGTCATCATGGGAAAGAATTTTTAACTTCTCCGGTTTTCAGTATTTTTGTTGGTTGTTAAGTATTCAGTTGACAAACAGGTTTAAATTTTGTATTTATAATTTTTTTTGGAAACCTTTCTTCTGTCCTCTCAAACATTTTGAGTCAGCATACATTATGCCACCGTGCACACAGCCAAGCAATAATTCATCTTTGTGGACGTCAGAGACATCTCACGTATTAATTAGAAAGCCTTTCAGTGACGGGCAGGCAGAAACAGGTTCCAACCGCTACTAAAACACAGACAGGGATTTCCAGGAAGGGCAATAGAAAGTCGGTTACAAGGAATTTCTTACCCGGTCTGGGTCCAGCCAACGAATGTAATTTGCTTTCATCTGCTACTGAGAAGAAAAAATAAAAGACAAGGATTAGACCTGCTTATAAATCAGATATTTTTTTGCATAAAAAATATAATCATAGTAAGTTCAATATTTTACTGGCAAATATTTGAGAATATTTTTTCTTCCAGCCTACACTGTGGTACTTCATTATTCCTGAGGACATTTATAAAGACAGCTATGAAGAAATATATGTTTGTTAGATCTATTATGAATATAACATCATTTAAAATATTTTGATACGTTTAGCTGGCTTGTTTCTATACTTACAAGAAAAGAAACTAAATTCAAGGGCTTAGAGATACATAATATATAAGAAGGCTTGTTGAGCATAAAAGCATATATTCAATTCTCAAGGATTAGATTTAGCTATCTGTTCCAAATGAGGGAAAAGAAGAAAAAAAAAGATTTGTAATTCCTTGAGTCAATTAAAACACTGGACAAAAACTTGAAATAGTGGCATTTGACTGACTAGATGACTAGACAATAAAGGACAATGATTCTGAAGTGAATTCTGCAGTTTCTCTAGCTCCAGCTTGCTCTCCGGGGAAAATGTCCAGTGATGTCCCTTGCTTAAGAACATGGCAAAGGCTGTCCTGGGAAGCCAGGGCAGGTAGTGTGAACAAGACAGAGAACCAGGAAGAAAGCTGTCTGAGATTCTAATATTTTTGAGAATTCCTTCACGTATTCGATTGAATACTGATCACACATATATGAAATAAGTACTCAAAGACTTGGCAAAGAACCACCCAGATTAGAAAGGCAACAGCATCTGAAATTCACACAGGACTGAGAATAGCACCCACTCCCCAAAGGATTAATGAAAAGCATTAGTTAGAAAATGAGGGCTCTTGTCTCGATAGTGTGGGGGGAAAAAACCCTTTTTGAAAGGCTCAGATTACCAAATTTTAAAAAGAAAAAATAATTTGAGGAGCCCAATAATAATTTTTCCAAAAAAAGTATATGTCCAATAACTTTTTTCCACAATAAAAAGGAGTTTATGTAAAACATTTTTACAAAGAAAACTTTAGACTCAGCTGGCTTCACTGAATTCTACTGAACATTTAAGGAAGAAATAATACTGATCCTATGGAAACAAGCCTTACCAAGGTTTAGAGGGAGGTTTCCCAGCTCATCCCATAGGGCTACTATTGACATTAATATCAGGACAAGACTACATGAAAACTATCTCATATTCCTCATGAACATATATACAAAGTTATTAATCTTTAATCACTTCTGTGTGGAAAACAACTTCAATATTTGACAAAAACTGTTCATTTGTTTACTGTGTAGGGTAAAGCTAGGTTGAGGGGAAGCTAATACCAAAGAGGCCCTCCTCTTCCCTTTTTCTTACCTAGACTGGTTTCAGTCACATGTCTGTCCCTCCTCCACCCAGAACATTCAGTCATATTTAACTGACCTTGTTACTCTATAAAATCTCTCCACTTCCCTGGCCCTTCCTTCATAGATGTCTATATCTTTTTTTTCCTTTTTATTGAGTTTATTGGTACATTCTAGCTATACAGTACAGTTAGATTCATTACTGGGATCTAGATGTCTACATCTTTATTTTCTAGATTAAAAACTATACATGTCTATGATTATTCTATTCTGAATTGATTAAAAATTCTGTTATACTTTTGTTGTATTTCCAGTTGGGAAGTAAGTCAGATGACATTTGTCATGTACTTACGGTGAGCCAAAGTCTGTCCTACCCATACCTGGAAAACATTTATAGTAGAATCTATAGCATACAAAGAAAAGTACTAGAAATCAATGATGATGACTAGAATAAGAATAGCATCTATGTTTTTGTCCTATGTACTTTGTACATACTAATTAATTTGGCCATCAAATGACCCTTAAAGGTAAGTATTGTTCTCATGTCGCAAAGAAAGCGAATAGATACCTTGTAAGTAGAGGAACCAGAGCTTAAATGACACTCTTATTCCATTAAACTTGTGGTAAGAGTCAAGCAAGAATTGCCATCTGGGACACTTTAAGGATGATCAGTAATATGAATGAAATACAACAAACATTCAAACACTTACATGCTAAAATACTTTTTATTTGTATATGTCCTATCAATGGAATTTTTTCTTTGACAACCAATATGAATAGGTGCCAGCTGTCATTCTTTTTAACATGTTTATAAATCTACAATTCTAAGGGTTCAAACTATTCATTCCTATTTCATAGATGAAAAACCATCTTTATGAACTAAGATCCTGGCTTGAAAACTTAGTTTTGTGCCATTGATTTAAAAGGTTTAAGGTTATTTCAATAAATATTTTAAAAGTGCTTCTAACTTTCTGTGCTTCAATACTGTCCCACCTAATGGGTTTGTGGTAAGCAAAGTAGTTAGAAGATCATGCACGCTTAATAAATGTTAGCTGTTATCATCCTTGATAAGGTGACACCAAAAAGTAGGCAGAACAAAATGATAGTTAATAATTAGAATCGTAAGTTGAGTGCCACCTTCATAGGCAAGTTAAAAGCTCTTCTTAACCTTAATTTCTCCATGTGAAATGGGGATCAAAACAGTCCACAGGAGTTGTGAGAGCCAAGTGAAAAAACTGTGCAAAGCACTTGGCAGAGGGCCAGGTACACAATTTCAAAAGATGAGAACTCTTGATAAACAGGAGCTGTGAAAGCGGGAAGGGTAGTAAATTTGATGATGGTTGTGATACTTATGATTTTACTATCTCAGAAGAATAAAGAAATAGAGAGTAACTGAGAATATACTATGCTTCAGCAGGACACTAGGTATTTTTACTTGTCATCTCATGGAAAATTGAACATCTATAGTAGATACACAGTACTGTACTGCCTGATTTACCTGGCTCTAGTTCATCTTGAAGTGAAGGAAAGGCAAAAAAGCCCCAAAACAAACCAAAACAAAAACAGAGTGCTAAATGGTCTCATTATGTATAGCTATAAAGTATAAAGTAACGCTTTCAAGTTTTAATTTCAATCTTTTAAAAAATCCAATCTAAGTGTTGCAAATTCCCTAGCCACATTAAGTTTAACAGGAACTTCTCAACTTTTTGGCTGGAAAATGTCTATTATTCCTGGTAGGAATACCTATCATTATTTTAATTGACAATTTGAAATTCTTTAGAACACTAAAATAAACTTTTTAAAAACAGTGTGGAAAATCCAATGGGTGATAGGCATACAAATTAAGGGTCTTTCTCCAAAATATTCACTGACACAGATGTCTAACTTTAGGACAGAAGATAAGTGAATAAACATAATAGAAAATAGAGGGAACTGTAATGACTTAATTAATGCAATACATTTTATTTAAAAGGTTAAATTTGGAACAATCATCTTTTATACATATCCTTAGTGTTGAGAAGCAATTTAAATAACAGTAGCAAATGAGAAAATGAGGTAAAATTACATGCACCACTAAGTTTTTTTAAAAATGGCAAATGTTATAATTAATACTCAACTTCCTTTATAACCCACATTACTTAGAGCTACTATTAACGTTATCTCTTGGGACTTGCACTTAAGTGTAGTAGTTTCACTGCATTATTTTTAGATAGCACAGTGATTGGAGTGCTAGCAATATGAATTATGATGGGGTGTCATTTTGAATAAAGGATTTTTTTTATCAGAAGCCAGAAATGAGTGGGTCTGGCAATGAGAAAGATCTTTTTTTTTTTTTTTTTTTTTAAAGTAAAGTACCAAAAATTTCAAGTAAGAATATGTTGATAGAGCAAGAGCCTAAGTTTTTATTCTGGTTCTAATGGCAGATTTTTTTCTTTTGTTTCTTATTCTTTTTAAATTCCTAAAACTTATTACTTTGTATCTCTTACCTTTTAGTTTTGTCCAAGGACTGATACTACTTGCTCCTGAATATCTTAAAGGCATGTTACAGTAATAGAAGAAATATGAATGTAAAGTTGAGTCCTTCTGAAGATGCAGTTCACAGGTGTTTTTATTATGACCATTGTTTCCATTATAGACTTTATTAAATACTAGAGGGCATCATGGACGTGCTCCTTTTGAGGTTTCTCTGGATTTATTTAGATAATGGGATTTCTATACTTACCCCGTTTCCTGACATTCAGCACAAGATCAATGGACATTATCTGATTTAATTACAACAAGGTGGTCAATAAAGAGGATATGCTTTGCCTTGGAAGACTAGCTTAGGAAACACAGCAGCCTCATGGCCTGATTCTCCTGGTTATATGTGTTTGAAGCTAATCAGAATTGTCCAACTGCTAATAGCACTTTAAAAAAAGGGATAAGCATACTGTATTTTTCTGTTTTCTTTCAATCAGGTTCATTGTTAGAGTCGAGGGAAAGAAAACATGAAGAAAATATGAAGGAAAAATATCTACAAACAAGATGGCACTCTGATAACTTGTTAAAGACAAACATTAAAGTGTATATAATACTTAGGTGCACGGCTTCCCAGTTGGGTACATTTATACTAATATAGTGATTGCTTAAAGTGTTTTATTCTTTTGTCAAGCCTTCTTACACACTTCAAATGCTTTTTCACTAGGGGAAAATAGTCCCCTTGCTTACTGATAGCATTTGACACGCATTCTATAACATAAGTGACTATGCGGGACTACACTTGCTTAATAAAAATTTGCAGGATGGTGGCAGATTTGGTGAGTTAATGGGCCCCATATGCTCTTCTTACACCGACAGGATATGGTATATTGCTAACATGCACAAATCATTTCAGATAAAAATTGCCATCAACTCCAGTTATCCTTTCTGAGAACAACAACACAATGTCACAAATGCGAATATGTAAATGTGTCACTACTTCATCTTGAAATACTTTGAGGCCAAGTAGCACTCTAAAATATCATGCAATCCTAGTTTTTCTTTTCTTTTTTTACATAAGCACCATTATTCCACTTAAGTTTTGATTTTCATATATTTGACATAGTGGAGACTGCAATTTTGAAGCTAATATTTTCTACAATAAAAGATATTTCTTCTAATGAAGCCATAAATGTTTCACT